CGACCACCACCTCAGAGTGGAAACGGTCAACAGGCCACTTCCCGGAACCTGGACGAATATGCCCTCAGGTGAAACAACATGACAACAGTGTGTTTGGGGCACGGGGACGCCCATTGGCCCCCCTCTGGCATTTTTAACACAAACAGAATTCAGCCCTGTCTCATATCATATTTTAGAATGGGTGATCCCTTGCTACAAGCCCAGTTCCTTTTATAAATTGGACATGACTGGGGGTTTAAGGTGAATTTAATTTCTAGTGAACTAGTGCTTAGTTATTACTAAACTGGAGTATGCTGGCAGGAAACCTCTCAGAGGGAGCCATCGAGCACCGGAGTAGAGAGAGGAGGGCACAGCCCGGACCGCAAGTCCCCCTGGACTGAGAACTTGAGGCTGGAGATCCTGTCTTATTCCTCCTCAGCTCTAGAACCTCACAGGTGCCCAGCACTCACTAAACGCTTGTTGAATGGAAATGACAGTTGTGAAAAAAGAAAAAAGAGAAAAGGCCCAGGGTGGAAGCTTGGTGAGTGTGATGGAAAGGAAACTAGAAAAATAAGGGTCTGAGGGTATGAGAGGGGTAAATAACTCTGGTAGGAAATGAGTGGAGTAAAAAAAAATTGACAAAAATTTACCCCCCCCCAAAAAAAGAACCAAATGTCAAAAGAGGATCCCACAAACACATTCCATTTATACACAAATGTGCATGTGCGCAGGTAAACACGGTCAATACCAACAGGGAACTAGAACTCTCTAGACAAACTGAAGGGCAGCAGGGGTCTGGGAGGTACCCTGTTTGCTTTAGCCCCTGCTCCCAGGACAGGGGGAAGCTGAGAGAGGCTGGGGACAGCTGGTGGGGTGAACACCAACTGAGGAGGTACTCAGGCTAGAGGTGTGTCCAAGGACAACGCAGACAATGGGTTCCGTGGGGCACAATGGATGAGCCCTCTCCCCTAATTCAGAAGGAGATCCCTTTCAGTCCTATCTCCTAATACAAACCACAATTTACCTGACAGCTCACCTTGTTTTTATCATCTCTATAAAAGCAGTGAACGAGCTGCACTCTATAAATAGTTTTGCAAAACTGTTCTGTGCCTTTTGCAAACATTAAGGTGGAAATGGCCCTGACACAGATCAATAATATTTGCCTATTTCCCTGTGCTGCTCTGTTTATTTTTAGCCCCTACAGAGAGCCCAATATCTGTAAGAAAAACTCTATATCACCTTCAAGAATATTACCAACTAATGACCGAGGCAGAAAAAAAATTTACATTTACTTCATTCCTATCAGTTCTTTCTTATAGGAATAAATTCAGACTCGGCAGGAATTTGTTATACTACCTCATTACATAGATTCAGGCCTTGGGGGAAAGAGATCATGAAGCTTATAAAATTCCACGCCTCCTTCATTACTCCCTGTTTTCTTCCATTTGGCAATTTATCCAAGAGTTCAGTTCTCTATTGCACAGGCAAAGGAGTGCACATTAGTGCACATAAACACAAAGAGTTTTGGGTTGCTTAGAAATAGGAAGGAGTATGACCCCCTGCCTCACCTTCCTTTACTTGTATATCATCATTTAGTGCATGAAGGACACAGAGCTGCAAACCCCAGTGAAGATCATCTCGAGGTTCAGCACTATAAAAGGAGCATTATAAAAAGTGCTGGAAGCTGAAGCAATTGGTACTTGATTCTCTATAAGGGTTGCCTTATCCATTTCTGCACTTCCTATGGAGTCCAGCAAAATTCCCCCAACAAAGTTGGCATAATTTAATGCCAGTCCAATAAACAAGTTTCTTCTAAACATAAATCGAACTGTAATTATTTGCTGCACACTGCAGTCCCCAGTGAACTTGTGAATCCCTTGGGGGCCCACATAGAATCCCACCCTTGTATCTCTATCCTCAGAAACCAGACAAAAGCCTGGAATGACATATGATTAGGAAGTCTTGACCGAAAGATCAGATTATGCCACTGTGTGACCCTGGGTATGTCGTACACTCCTTAGGACCTTCATGTCATCTGGGGGGTTTAGTGGAGGGCATGGCAGCAGCCATCGGGGGGCATGTGACCTCCCTGAAATTCTGGGCAAAATTTTATTTGCTGGAATGTGCACATAATTTTTCTGAGAAGAGGATATATAGCTTCTATTGTTTCAAAGAACCTGTGACGACTGTTCCTGTCCCCAAAAGTTTTCAGAATCTTTGGCAGCAGTCTCCAACATTACTGAGCCAGGAATCCTAATACTAAAAAGAGTTTGAACATGCACACCCTGCTCATGTACTAGATATGTACACATGAACTATATTAGGTACATGACAAAACAAACATCAAAGTGACAGAAGTACAAGATAAATATGCAATAAACAATACTTCGAATGTTTATTTATTTATTTTTCAATTTTTATGGAATTTATTGGGGTGAATTGGTTAATAAAATTGCATCGGTTTCAGGTGTACAATTCTAAAATACATCATCTATATATTGTATTGTGTGTTTACCACCCCAAGTCAAGTCTCCTTCCTTCACTATTTATCTCCCTATATCCTTTTTTAACTCCCCTCCACCAGCTCTTACCTCTGGCAATCATCATGTTGTTGTCTGTGTCTATCAGTTTCATTTTTATTGTTTTGTTTAATTGCTTCACCTTTTCCATCCAGCCTCCCAACCCCCTTCCCCTCCAACAGCTGTCAGTCTGTTCTCTGTACGTATGACTCTGCTTCTGTTTTGTTTGATAGTTTACTTTGTTCACTATGTTACACATTTAAGTGAAACCATATGGAACTTGTCTTTCTCTAACTGGCCTATTTCACTTAGCATAATACCCTCCAGGTCCATCCATGCTTTTGCAAAAGGTACGAGTCCTTTCTTCTTCGTGGCCAAGTAGTATTCCATTGTGCAAATGTCCCACAGCTTTTTTAACCACTTGAATATTTATTATATTTAAATATGTCTAAGAGTACAAACCCATTGTCTTTACTAATAATCATTATATTTATTAAGAGCAATATGATAGAGTATGCTTCATGTTTAAAAATTTAGGTTTAACTATTTGCCATATGTTAATTGGAAGGTCTGGTTCTTAGTTCAGTTTATTTTACACAGCTGGGTTTTAATGGCTGTCACAGTTTTAGGCAGTGAAACCACATATATTGAAAACATTCCCAGATACTTATAAACAATGTTCTTTCTATAATAGGAGTTTCTTTAAAATTCAGTTATCTTATTTATTCTTAGAAGGACAAATTAATTATGCTTCCTTTTTTCAAAAAATGACCTCTAGATAGTACTCTACTGAGTTTTCTTGTTATCACAGAAACAATTAACAAAATATGGAAACCTTTCCTTTTTATAAAAATAAAAATAAGTATAATTTATCTGTAAGTTTAAGAACTCATGAATAAGTAATTTTCAAAAAAGATAAACAGCAAATCTCTGTGAGGTTCATGGTGCCTTCTCAACCTAATATAAAATAATGTATTAAGTAAGTTTTCTACCACACTGTATATTCAAGGTCTGTTTTTATCAAATTAACTGTAAAGTTACATCATGTAGAATTTTGTTTACCTCTGGCTTCAACATCTTGGCTGCACTAGCATGCTGATAAATAATGCAGTGAACAAATTTATCTCTTCTAACCTTGCCTTAGAATGAAACAGATGCTTCTTAAAATGAAACGCTACTTGATTTTTTTCATAAAACATTTTCATAAAGATTGTAATAAATCTCATCCAGTGGCAGCTCATCAAAAAGAATCACTTAGCATATTTCATTGGTGAAACAGAAATAAACAAGCACAATAGGTTAGAACTAACAACTTACAAATGTAAAACAAGTTTTTTGCCCTCCATAACTTGTTTTAATACAGTATTTGTTCCTTCAAAATTTCGGTAGTATCTTCAACAATACTTTCGACAGCATTTTCTGACAAAGAAACTCAGATAGATAGTTTCCAACATATTATCTTATCTGGTCTTGTGTTAGGTGAAAGAACAAGTGTTTCCTAAAGATATGTGGCTTTTAACTTTTCATACAAGTAATAAACTCCAAAGAGACTTCAAAACACCAGTTTAATGAAATTTTATGAAGATTAATAAGTACATTTAAACACTGGATTTTAAAAATTGTAGAGGTTATTCTCCATTTTTTTTCCATTATGGTACCTTCATTATTTTCATTAGGAAACTTCTCAAGACAAAGTATACACTTCCTTCCAATATGTGCATTCTTAATTACAGTAGATGCAAATCCTAACTTTGTTAGTTGTCTTGATAGTTTTGCAATGCAGGGGCTAACTTTAGGGTCAGAATGGATTGTATCAGTATTGTTTTTTTTTAACTCATAAGATGACTAACAAAAAGCTTGTCCTAGAATCCTAGTATTAACTCCTCCATTTCATACGGTTCCCTTGTTCTCACTTGTATAATTAGTGTTCTCTTCAATCTGCATTTTGCTTTTTGTTGTTGCCAGAATCTTTTTAAGCTACCTTTCTTGTTTAATTTGTTGTTGTTGGGGGCTAGTTTAACTGAAACAAATTAATATTCCACAAATTAACTGGACTGGACACATACAAATACAATGCACCATGCTATGGGCAGGTGAGGGCACCAGGTCAAGCCCTCCTTCTTGAGGGAAACCTACTCGTCCCTCAGAACACGGGGCCTTCTGACCTAAAGAACAGGGGAGAGTGTGCAAATGTCAACTCATATATACTAATAAAAATTAATTTTTCTTATTTTCACTGTATTAAAAATAAACAAAAGTTCTAGTATTTTCTCCCCACACCCCAGTGGTTTATTTTGCAATCTAGAGATTATCCAGATCAAGATAATCTCTAGTGCCATTTGCAACTCAAAAATTAAAAATTAATGGATGTTCTCCGTGAAGGGCCCTTGATCGTTATTTGCTCAAAGAACTCCTGGATAATCCCTGAACTTCTGTCTCCTGATAGCTCCAGAGAAACCATCCATCCAAAACCCCACTGAGTGAGGAATGCAGGCAGATTACCTGGGCAAGTTGTCTCCTGCTGGCACCTAGAAGGCAGTCAGGTGGATTCCATGCAGAAGGGTTGGGCGAGGCTCCCAAGTGTCTGTCTCCACGCTAGGCTATAATGACATACCCCTCAGATGGATGGACAGTTTTCAGCCTCAACAGACACTAAAACATGTGACTGTGAGGTGTTGCAAAATTATTCAGCACACACAAATTTCACTAGGAAGGCTTGACAGCTGCAAGTGGGAGGAAAGTGACGGGGTCATGTGTTTTCATGGTTGTTTTTCTGGACAGTTCTATTTTGTGTGGGATGAAGAAACAAATTGTGTTCTCTTATATGGGAGAGAAGAGTTTTCTAAATTTAGAGTCTTTTATCACTTGGATTATTTCCTTTGAATGTGGTTTTCCACAACTGCCGCGCCGAGGGGCAGGAGCTCAGGAAGTCCCGGGTACACGAATGCAGCCAGTGCTAACGAAGTCACGTGCCAGGCAGCAGGCCAGGCAGCCCAGTCCGGCGGCCAAAGCCTATTTCAAGAGTCTGAAAGGACGGTCATAAACATCTAGAAGAAATGATTTGTTGCCCGTAATGAAATCTCTTAAGGCACTAACAACAATAGAGGTAAGTTTTAAAATCAAGAAAGATAGGACCAAAAGTTGATCTCCAGAATTTGTTCAGTCAAATTTCCTCCTTGAGAAAACTAACTTCTCTCTTGTTCTTCGAAAACTCCTACAGAGGAGATTCCAAAGCCTGTAATTCCTTTCAGAGGTCAACCATTCTCACGACCAGAGAGTCTTTCACAAAAGGTAAGGATAACTCCCTCTCAGGAAGTTAACTTGATTGGTTATGTCTGTGTTTGAGGAAAGGGAGGTATAGAGAATATAAAAAAAAAAGTTTTGTTAACAAAAAGAAAGGCAACAAGAAAAATAATCCAATCTAGGTTGTTTTCTGTATTTTAGAGATTCTACCAATATTATCTGTCATCAAAGAAACTAAAGATAAGAAGAAGTTATTTGTATCTCAGTTAAAACTAAAATAGCCTTTCATCAGGCCTTTTAGAAAGTGTCAAGATGGCCCTTAGGAATGAAGTTTTTATTGGTGCTACTTCCTTGTACACAGGTTTATAAGCACTGGTATTATATTTCCTATATGAAAAGGCAGAGGTTACTGACTGTGAATCGTGACTGGATTCCTGTTACATGTTTGCATACTGCATTCCCTGTCTCTATTTTCCTATGAAACTGAATCCTCCACACCCCACCAACCCAAACTGCCCCAACCCTTGCCCCTCAAAAGTCTTGCTTCTTCTCACATGAAACTAACAGCTAGTAACTCTTGGTTACTCTTGCTCAGAATTTGTGATCAGACAAATTGTATCTGAGTTCTTCCATACAACGCAGGTTAAAAAAAAACATCCAAAACAGCAACTTCAGCAGCCAACCTGGTGAGTGCTAACCTTACAATGAAAAGTTACCAACTAGAAAATTTCACATCTTTTTCTCTACAAAAAGGGGGGGAAAAGACAAACAGGCTTGAAAGATGAATAGAATCATATAGTGTTAACACTGGAACAAAATCCATATAAATGATCCAGTTTTCTGCTCCTTTCCCAGGAAAGGATCATAAGGCTCAGGAGGGTGACTGGTAACTCACTGTACTTCCACCTGTAGGCAGAGGCGGAGGCAGCACCAGGCTCAGGGCTCTGACTGGGGTTGAAGCAGAATGGGGGACCTGGCCACCGGGTCACTTACATTGGAATCAAAGAGAAATCTCATTGCAGTAACTGAACTTACATAGCCAGTTTCACAAGGTGGTAAAGAGTTCCATAAGACATAAAAAGATTTGAGTATTTATTAGTTATTCATACATTTTTGAAACTAGAAAAGGGATCTTTCAAAGATTTTCAAAGCAAACATCAGGCACCCCTACACATATTCCAATATTACCCCACCAAGTGACATTCTCTGACAGAGGCCTAGAAAATGAGCTGGGCCAACCCACTTGCTTCACTAGGAGTGAGGAGCAGGCACACCAGTGGTGCAAGACTGCCACAAGACTTGTATTTTCTCCAGGCAGAAGCCAACAGACCTCTTACTGCCCATTAGAAACCACTCCCAGTAGTCTCATTCCAGCAGCTCGTCTGTGGGAGCTGTGCTTCCGACCCCCTTCCCAGCCTCCTGTCCCTGCACCAGGCATAACATCTAGGCTCTGTGTTTATACTACAGAAGGAACAAACACTAAAGCACTGTCAAAGTGCTCTTTCCAGTGAGTCTCCACACCACCTCCTCTCTTGAAATTTATAACCTGCATGAAATAATCCGAGTTCAAAGCAGAGTGTTTTCATCGGCATTAACGACCTCTGAAAACATGAGCCTAGAAAAGGCCTCCAGGGTTCAGGCAATAAAACGATCCAGGCACAATATGTGGATTCCATAAGCCGGGGTACTTTTCTGAAGGACTCTGTGCTGGAAGCGAATGAATACTCAATGCTCTCATGACAGATTCAAATTCAGTCATCTCGGCAGGCCTCCATCTACTCACCCAAGCAACCCCTGGAACTTTGGGCTTGTGTTCAACTGCTTAATCCGGTGTGTGCAGGATGGCTGCTCTCAGAATCCAAGGCCCCCTCTTGGCCTGGCCCCCAAAAATAAGGTATTCTCTTTCATTGGGGCAGACACAGGAGAATGCTGCTTTTCCTCTCTAGCCTTTTATTTAAAAACTAGACTATGCAATCGTACGCAAAAATTAGGTACCTTCTATGGTGAAAAGTCCCACCTGTAAATAATAAATTTTCCTCATATTGCCCCCAAAAAGAAAAAGCAAAGGTAACTGGATCCCTTAAAAATGTTCTTTCCCCCCATATCCCTACCTCACCTGCAAATAGGAAGATAAATACAATTTTTTAAAGGATTTTATTTTTTATTTAAATTTTTTAAATTGAACTTAGTGGGGTGACATTGCTTAATAAAGTTATATAGGTTTCCAGTGTGCAGTTCTATAATTGTGTATTTAGCACCCGAAGTCAGGTTTCCTTCCGTCACCATGTGACCCTCCCTTTACCCTCCTCCACCTCCCCCACGACCTTTCCCTCTGGTAAGCACCATACTGTTTGTTCTCTGTGTCTGTGAGGGGTTTTGTTTTGTTTTTCCTTTTTTGCTTAATTCCTTCACCTTTTCCACCCAGTCCTCAACCAGCCTCCCCTCTGACAGCTGTCAGTCTGTTCTCTGAGATAAATGAGATGTTAAGAGAATTCATTTTTGAATGGTTGCTAATTTATTGTTAGTGATTTCAAACACCAGGTAAATCTATAGATATAGCTCCATGTAGTTGATTACTACTTCCATTTATACTTTTAGAATGTAAAGGTTGCCATTTTAATTGGTATTCAGAGGTCTGCCAATGTGCAAACCCAAGCAGTTCAGCTACTTTACCCACGGGGAAAGTGAGTTATCTAGAAACAAAAGGGATGACAGATTAAAAGGCTATCCTCGCTAATGCTTTTGAATTGGGCTAAAGTTCATTACACCATGTTGAGTCCCTCCACTTCTTAGGATGAACAATGCAGCTGGCGTGGCGAGACATATTGCTTGGGCCTCTAATCTTAGCGGTAACATTTCCTGTCTCATGTTCTACCATCAATAGTGACCTACTTGCTAAACCATGTGATTTTCCAACCGGGGCTTTTGATGCTCACACATGGGAAATACAATTATTTTTATATTTAGCACAAAGTGTAGCCACGAAACATTTCCAATGGTTTCCAGTTCAAGATATCCACATTAGTCTTATTTTGTGGTAATTTTTTTTACTTTGTTATTTAGAAACACAATAATAATAGCCCATTAAAAACAAAGCTTTCACTTTAAAAAAAAAGCAACCTGTGAAAATGCTAGATTATGTTAGTATCTAATAAATTGAAAACCATCTGTCAAAAAGTGAAATAATCATGTCCTAGTTACTTATCTTGTTTGAAGAACTGAACAAAACTGAGTCTGTTGAAAATGATAGGAAACAGTACTGCTTGTATTACTTAGGTTTGAAATCCTTAGAAAAGTGAGAATAACTTATTAGTAAGGATAGAAGAATAGGAAAAAACTAACACTCAGAAATGGAATAGAAGTGTGCCAAAACAGAAAACAACAGGATTTGTTAGTTAAAACTATGGACAAAATAAAACTCACCCCAAATATGCACAATAAGATTATGAATACCTAGCAGGAAAGCCTTACATTACAACAAAAATCTGAGAGTAACTCAGGAAAGTTGATTTACCAGGCAAGGTAAAACTGTCATACATAGTTTTCAAAATTAAGAAGAAAGTCATTGTTGCAAATTTATGTATGTATGTAACATAGCAAATACTGTTCAAAATGTTGTGGGGTTTTTTGGTTTTTTTTTTTGTTAGCTTTCATTCACAAACCCTAACGGGCCTAACACTCTAATGAAGAATACTTGTTCCATGTCACTTATGCATAAGCAAATTCTAATCACTCAACCAAATCTCCAAAACAGATGTCAGGAGCCTGCAATACACCTATTTATGTGAATTTCCAAAACTCTGTGGCTACACCGGCTCAAAAGCAGCTGCTTCTGTGAATCATAAAGAACCTTTCAAAGCACAGTGTTCATACATGGAAAAGGCACATGTTCTACTTTGCCTCTGCCAAGGAAACCTCACTGCCACCCCCTCACCCCAAGCACTTAGGAACTATTCCAGCCATGTGCATACCCAGTAGGGATTCTTTCTCATTGTTACTGCTTTTACTATACATTTCCCATAACCTCATGCTGTTTCCCACCCACACAGCTTAGCAAGAAAGAAAAAAAAAGGTCTTTCTGAGCCTTAAAAGGCCCAATCTACTGCACATGAAAACTACCCTTGCCTGTTAAAGGCAGGCTCTCAAGAGCTTACATAGACCATGCACCTGTCCAACTTAATAATGATACACTGATCCAGCTCTTTAATTACCGATCTTATTGCCACCAGGGTCTTGATGGGTTCTCACCAAGTCATATACCCCTATCTACCCAAGTTATAAAGTGAGGAAGGTCCCTGCCAAAATACTCAGGAAGAAAGTACAATATGAACATCAAAACATCCTTTTTCCTTTCAGAGTTCTCCCTTCAGTTTTTTTTCTGACTTGTTGCTGATACAAAACATAAAAACAATCTGGAAGGAACCAGGTTAAAAATTATTCTCAAATATGGATGTATTCTACTCACCTTAAAATTTAGATCTGCTTTCAGCAATCTGATACAGGGGATTTAGCTGAGAAGTACATTTCATAGGTGTACGACATTTCAGTAGGTGGTTCTAACAGGTTTCTGTGATAGTGGGGACCCGAGAAGGCAGAAGAGTGTCAACTGGGTTTAGACTGATAATCTGTGCAGAGAAAGACTCCGCAACTCGAAAGGCCACCTGGGACAGGACCCAGGACAGTGGAGCAGCCAGGGGGGAAATGTGACATTTTGTCAAAGTTGAAATGATGATTTATTTAGTTGAGTGGTAAAGTCACACAACAAACCTCAAAAAAAAAAACCAAAAAAAAAAACAAAGGCTCACAAGCCATCCTCAGATTGACAGGGAAAGAATTAACATGTACTCTAGGGGAAATAGTCCCAAGTTAAATGCTAGAGAAAGGGGACTTCAGAGCAGGGTGTTCAGCTTCATTTGTCAATTCCTTTCCAATGAACATGTGAGGTAAAGCTATTTTTCAATTTTCACCTTTATAATGTCCTCAGAATAATTGAGTTCTAAGAACAAATCATTGTAGTAGATATGTGAGTTCAAATGAAAAATAATTTG